CGAGTGTCGTGAGGGGGGCCCGCGGGCGCGCGCGCGCGCGGTCGACTGCGGTCTGTGTGGCCAGGTCGGCCGGTTGTCATTGGGCTCCGCAGAGCGGCTGTGCGGCGCGGTCCGCGAGCGGGCTGGGCTCCGGCACGGCCATGGCTGGCGCGCTGGTGCGGAAGGCGGCGGACTATGTTCGCAGCAAGGACTTCCGGGACTACCTCATGAGGTGACGAACGCCGCGGGCCGGACCCCAGAACCCGAGGGGCGCCCGGGAGGGCGCGGTGACCCCGGGCGGCGGGGGACCGAGGCGGGGGGAGGTGCAATTGTGCGGGGGCCCCACCCGAACCCCCACCCCGGGGAGCCGGTGAAGGGGGCGCCCCTCCCGGCCGGGATGACAGTTGGGACCCCTATTCTGGAGTGACAGTGGGGCTCCCGTCCCGGCTGGGGTGACAGTCGGGACCCCTATTCTGGGGTGACAGTGGGGCTCCCGTCCCGCCTGGAGTGACAGTCGGGACCCCTATTCTGGGGCGACAGTGGGGCTCCCGTCCCGGCTGGGGTGACAGCCGGACCCCCACTCTGGGTCCAGTGACAGAGAGACCCTCTTCTGGGGTGACAGCGGGGCTCCCGACCCTGCTGGGGTGACAGTCGGGACCCCCACTCTGGGTCAAGTGACAGAGCGGCCCCCTTCTGGGGGTTGTCTTGGCGGGTTTCCGCCGCATCCCTGGAGTGGGTCGCGAGCCCCGCCTCGCTGCACCCGGGGCAGGTGTGCGTCCAGGTGTGCGGATGCAGAGTCCCCAGCTGTGGCCCTGGGAAACGTCAAGGGCAGGCGCCGCCGCGCGTCCCTTGGAATGTCGCCGGCGCGTTGTGAGAGGTGCGCTCCAGGTACCTGAGCGCGCGTCCGGGACGAGGAAACGACATGCGCTGCGGCCAGCTCGCCTTTCTGTTTCTCATTTTAAGGACTTAAGCCGGGGTGTGTGCACAAAATCTAAACTGTTTTTATGGACGAATATTCTGTGAACTCAAGAGCTAAATTTTTCTTACAATTCTGTTTTTCATTAATTGTTCCTTTCCACTTAGAAACAAAGGACATTCATGGTTGAAAGACCTGAAAATGCACTTTCTATAGTTTATTTTCACCTCTAACCTTGAAGTGGCTGCCTTTATTTTAAAATATTTACTATAGATTTGAAACAGTTTTGAATTATTATGGAGTATATACTAATTTTTTAGTTAGTTTTTCTAACTAAAAGTGTGACTTTAAAACCTAGGAGAAATAATTCCTATTATAACCACCCGAAGGATATAGAATGAAGGCAACTTGATTATAGCAATCAAAAAGAATTTTTTAAATCTTGAATTTTATAGCAAATACTTTTTACTTCTAATTTTACAGAGCAGTAGGGTAATAAAAATAAATTCCATGTGCTGTATGGTAAACTTGGTAACAGAAGCTTCACTCCTGACTTTCCAAAAAGGAAGTTTCTGTGATTAAATAGGGCTGTGATTCATTAAAACAGATGTTTAGTTCTGTGGAGGCAGCAATTTATCAGATTAATGTGTAGGGAAAATTTGAGCAAAGTAGTAATCGTAGGGTATGTTCTTAATCCTTACAGTTAAGTTTCTTTATGGCTTTGAATATTAACTTAGCTTTTTGTGAATGTCTTCCGCTTGCATAATGAACATTCCTAATAGTTAGGTACAGCTAAGGATAAAATCGTATGGTATAATTAATAAAGTTATTACACCTTAGCCATATAAAAATTGTGCAGATGATTACCTAACAGTTCTATTACATGAGAAAATTTTTTAAATATATTTTCAAGGAAGAGAGTTAGCCCTGCTTTTCTAAATTTATTTTAGTCCGTTGGAACAGATTCTAGAAATCAGAGTCTAACACTTTACTTGCCACATGAGATATCTAAACCGAGCAGAAAACTTGAGACCCTCTGAACACCAAACTTGTGAAGCCGAAACAGAAATGTCAGTTTAGGACTTAAAGGAAAATAGTACCACACAGAAATGGTTTTGAAAAGAACTACTTTCTTGTCCTGTATATGTCTCCCTTCTCTCTGCCACACTGCTTCCTACACCCTGCTTGCTCTTGGACTCTTTTGAGCACTTCCCTGCCATATAATTAAGCTTTAGAAATTGAATGAAGTTGGAAGTGTTGAAGCAGGCAGGACTGGACATAAGAGTCTCTTGATATCTGGATAGTCCAGTTTACAGAGAAAACTGCCATTTTAGAAATAAACGTAACTCATTATGAAACTTTTGATGTATTTTTAAATGATACCAAGTTTAACATTCAGGAAAATAGCATTGAAAGTCGGTAGTAACAAAATGCTTACATTCCACAGGGCTTACATTTTGGTGGTAACGTGTTAGTAGAAATGGAAAACGTATTGTTCATAGAATTCTGCAGCAGTGTGCTTCTTTCCAACTTGTCATTTGCAGAGAAATATTCCCTCCAATTGAGAGCCACAAGCCTCAGGTGGCTACTGAGCACTTGAAATGTGGCTATTACAAACTAAGATGTGCTGTAATTGTAAAATACACACCACATTTCAAGGAATTAGTACCAAAAAAGAATGTAAAATATCTGATTAATAATTGCTTGATTATATGTTTAAATTAAAATATTTTTATGTTGTAATAAACAAATTGTTAATAAAACAGATTACTTAATGTGGCTTCTAGAAATTTTTAAATTACATTTGTGGCTTGTGTTATATTTCTATTGGACAGCTGTGCTCTAAGGATTAAGCTCATTTTCCATTAAATTAAGATTTAATTTCATTAGGTCCAAATTGTTTTTAGAAACATTACTTCTCACAGAAAAAAAAAAAAAAAGGATGTGTGTTGCTAACATTGTGGTTACTGAAGCTTGAATACAGTGTGAAGTTGAAGTAACCTCACAGAAGTGAAAGCTTTGAAAACATCTGATCTTTATTTTTTTTTCCCTCCATGTCTCCCCTGTCTGAACCTTGGTGACTCCTCATAAAATAGTACGGTAAGAAAATTGTTTCTGTCTGTTTCAGGCTTTTGCAGACTTTCTGCATTAACACAGTTAGGGACAGCAGACGTAGTGTCCCTTGTCTGAGACAGCCTGGCTAGCCACCATGATGGTGAGTGTGGCTTAAGTGCCCCCACTGTGCCCCTACTTCTCCTAGTCAGAAGGGAGCTTCTGTGAGGACCAGTGTATCAGCTGCGTCCCTACCGGTAAGGGGATCATAACCCTTGACTTGGTGTTGTCAGCACCACGCTCTCCTGAGTGAGCCACGGGCCGGCCCTCCTACATCTGTCTTTAGAAAGGGGCATATAATGACTTCATTTATAACAGTCACTATAGAGGCTGGCAGATGATGAAAGGAAAAGAGAGAGAAAGAAAATGGGAAAGAAGCATACGGTGATTTCTTTGTGCAGTTGCAACTCATTTCCGTGACTTGATTTCCCAACAAGGAGATAGATTATAGCGCTGCTCTTCTCTGCGTGAGCTTTCTTTAGCCACCATTAAGAATTATAGTGGAGTAAAAGCATTTTCTTATTTAATCCAAAATGTACTCGTTTTCTCTTTTTGAATATTAGTCATGAAATTCCTTATTTTTCTAGAAATTGACTGATAAATATCTGACAGAGCATAGATCAAATGTGTATTCCAAAAAGGAAGAGAGAACTAGAACCTCATACTAGATGGAAAGGATGTATTGTAAACTGTCTATGGTTAGGTATTACAGTAAATGAGTGTTGGAATGATTTTTACA